TATTGTTTTCACAGTTTTTCTTAAGGGATTTTACCTACCTCAATTTGATTCTGAATTTCTGGTAGCACAAGATTACCAGGTTTTTGATTGGCTGACATGAAACACATTAGTAACTGAATTTAAACAAGCTCCTACTGATCATCCCCACGTGTTCTGGTAACATCATTGGTAATTGAAAGAGTTGATTGGTACCCCATATCTATCCACTTCTTCAATTGAGTTAACCTATAGATCAAGTTCCATGAGGTTAATATAATATGAGCAACAAGTCCTCAGGTAGTAAAAAAGTTGCTATTTTTTCAAGCTGAAGTCTTTTTCTTCTATCATTCTGGTCAGGCAAAGTTCAAGACCAAGGTCTCCTTTTTATCCTGGTCAGGCAATAAGACTGAATGGTCTCAAATCCATGTTAAGCTCTAACTCTTTGGTTACAGTTAAGAATACATTTTTTCAGAAGTTGTTAAAAGATATTGTAATTGATGAGGATCCCCACTGCTCTTCTGATACCCTCCCACCATTGTGAAGCAAAAATATTATTAGGAAATAACTATTTTGGGCAATAGAAGATATATCAATAAAATTCCTTTAACTAGGCATGGCTATTGGAAGATATCACACTGAAACAACATGACTCAGTTTCTATTAGATTATATAAGAACCTGTGATTCATTGTAAGACACTTGTTTACTGCAAGTGGATAAAAAATTACTGCCCAAAGAAGGTTGGGACCAAGTGTGTCCTAAAAGTAAAGATCTTTACTAGGTGATAAGTCTTTTTAGACGGTACACAAAAAGAAAATCAAAATCAAGAATGAATAAGTTCCTCAGATGGTCAGAAAAAGAAAGGATATCCCAATTAGGCATTTTTTATTGAAAAGAGATCTTAAGAAGCAAGTTTTTGAAGGAAGCTGGAAATATTTTTTTTCAATTTTTACCTTTTCATTTTCTTGTGATCTACTTAGACATTTTTAGATATTTTTCACCCTTTTTTTCAACCTATACTTTTGTAATTTTCTGTATTCCAATGGTTTGGATCGACATATGGCTGTGACAACCTGCTGGCAATGATGTAGTGGACTAGGAGGATCTTTATCCAAAAATACTGTAGAGCAAAATATTGTCCTCAAGGCTGAATTTAGAGGCTATTATGTTTATGACAAGTTAGTTTGATTATGATAACAGTTTAGTTGTAGTATATATCATACTGTTCAAATGAAAATGTATTTATGTTTTCAATTGATTAATAAATTGACAATCTAGCTCGACTACAGATATATAAAAATATATATATATATATATATTAGTAGCTAAATGTAAACAAATTCCTACTGGTTACTTTATATATTTTGATGATATTATTGATAATAAGAATAGTTGATTGGTATCCTGTTCCTACTCTATTTTTCTAATTGGATTAACTTACAGATTAAGTTTCATGAAAACAATAAGATATACATAACAAATTCTCAAGTGATAAAAAAGTTATTATTTATTCAAACTAAGATTTTTTTTTCTTATTATTCTGATTAGGCAAAGTTCAAGATCAAGGTCTCTTTTTTATTCCAGTTAAGCAATAAAATCAAAAGTCTTTGGTCCATACTAAGCTTCAACTTTTTGATTATAGTTGAAAATAAATTTTTTAGAAGTTGTTAAAAAATATCATAATTGATGAGAATTCCTGTCACTATTTGAAACTCTCCTATCATTAAAAGACAAAAAAATTATTTAAGAATCCGACTTTTTGAATAATAGAAAATATTTATCGGTAAATTTTCTTTAACTAGACATAATTGCTAGAAGATATTATATTGAAACAATATGGCTCAGTTCTTACTGAATTACATAAAAATCTGGGGTTCATTATAAGTTATCTATTTATTACAAATGAATAAAAAATCACTATTCAAATAAAGTTTGAATCAAGTGTATTACTAAAAATAAAGGCTCTCACTAGATGATAAATCTCCTTAAACAATATACAATAAAGTAATCAATATCAAGAATGAATAAGTTTCTCAGACAGTCAGAAGAAGAAAGGATATCCTAATTGGGCATTTCTTATTGAAAAGAGATTTTGAGAAGCAGATCTTTGGAAAAAGCTAGATATATATATTTTTTATTTTTTTATTTTCTTGTTATCTATTTAGACATTTTTAAATATATCTCTTTTCTTTTTCAATCCATTCTTTTGTGGTTTCTTATATTCTAGTGGCTTTGTATAATATATAGTAGTGACAACATGCTGACAATGATACAGTGAACTAGAAAGAAAGGTTTTTATCTAAAGATACTGTGAAACAAAATATTATTATTAAGGTCAAACTTAAAAGCTTTTATATTTATAATAAGTTAATTAGATTAAAATAATAGTTTCAATATAGTATGTATTATGCTGCTTGAATAAAAATGTATTTATGTTTTCAATTGATTAATAAACTGATAATCTAGCTTAGCTATAGATACTTAAAAAAAAAATAATAATTTATAAATATAAATATTTTTTTTACAAATTTTATAAATTTTTGATAAATAATAAATAAATAAGTATCAAATTTTGATGAATAATTAATGAACTTTTAATGAATAATTTTAATAAATAGTTACCAATTTTTAATAAATATTTATTGAATTTTTAACGAATGATTTGATGAATAGTTGTCAAATTATTAATAAACTATTAATAAATTTTTGACAAATTATTAATAATTAATATTAAATTTTTATTGAATTGCTAATAAATAATTTTGTGATAAACTTTTAATAAAATTTTGCTAAATATTTAATAAATTATTTGATGAATTATTAATGAATTTTTTGATAATTTATTATTAAACTTTTAATTAATGAATTTTTGATTATCACTTTATTAAGTGGTAACAATTGAAAAAAATTTAGCAATAATTCAACTACTGAATGACATAATTTAAACTAGTGTTATTTTAATATTATAAAAAAACTTTTTTATATTTCTTTAATATAATTACTCTTCAACTAAATTTTAATTATATATAGAATAAACTATTATTGTCAAACAAAAAAAGTGAAATCTTTAGATTAGTTATTCATATAATTAATTTAATATAGAAGTAATAGTAAAAAAAAACTCTTCTTGATGTTTTATAAATAATTTGGCATCTTTAAAAATAGAAGTGATTTTTTTTTTAGATAAAAAATAATTGAGATAAACATATATTTCTTTTTATCACAAATCCTTTTTATTTAAATTATAGTAAAATTATAAGATATTTGTTAGACTTTTATATTCTAAATGTTAAATTATATTTAAAAGTCTTCTTCTTTATTTATAACCAATATATTATAATCAAATAGATACTTTTTAAAAGAAGTTAAAGATATACTATATTTAAAAATAATATTTATTTACAGTATATATAAACAAATAATTTAGATAGATCTAAAGCTAAGAAAATATATTCAAATATATAAGATAATAATATAAGCTTGTTTATATTCTTTAATTAATATATATTCTATTATTCAATTATTATATAAGAAACTTTATACTACTTGAAATTTAAGATCAAATTAAAATAAATAAATTTCTTTAAAAATAATTAATAAAAAATACTATAGGAGCAAAAGACAGTAACAAGATAATAGAGTTGATATTTTTTTATATTCATAAACTCTATGATATTTTTTTAATAGATAAATAGACAATAACATTTTGGTTCTTTTTTTTTTTCAAAACTTTTTTGTTATTAATAAGAAAGATATTACTTGATTTTTGAATCATCAAGAGTCAAATATTTATTTGAAAAAAAAAAGTATTAACAAGAAGGAAAGGATATTAAAGACAACTCTTGAAGTTCTTTTCAAGTTAATTTAATAAAAGTAGTAAGACTTTATTAGTATGGAAGCATAAAAACTTCTTGTAAATATCTTTTTTGAATATAATTAAAGAATCATTAAAAAGAGTATTGTTAAGTTTGAATAAATAATATTTAAGAATATTAAAAGATATTATACTTTTGACAAATATAATATATTAAATATATAAATTTTAAAAATTTATTAAGCTTAATACTAATTTAGTCAATTTTACTATTGATAATTATATATTAATATCAATTGTGAATTTAATGCATTATTGCAGATCATTCTTTGTATAAAAAAGAATATTCACGAGTTGCGTTGACTCTATCTAGTTATGAATTCGATTTCAACTCGAATCATTATTGTGGTCTTAATATCTTCGTTTTTATGTGTATCCTTTGTCTACTCTCTATCAAAACACAGACATTCATTTTTTCTCGAAAATGATGAATTGTTCTCGTATAAAGATGATGTTCAAAATTTAGGAGAGCAAAAAATTCGCCTGCGAAATTTTACTGGAGTAAGAGAATTGAAAGTCTCGACTACGCTAGAAGAATTTATTAATGTAAGTTCTTATTTCTTGAATTATATAATTAATATCTTTATATTCAAGGGCTGAACTTGAGAATTTCCATTTAGTCAAAGTCTTTGTCGCCTTCTACAGAATTAAATAGAGAATGGAAAGTACGTGTCCAAATCGCGTCAAGAAATCAACCTTTGCCATTTCCGTTTAACATTGTACCAATTTTTGGTATCCATATTGGAATTTCGATTGGAAATGAATCACTCGCTCAAAGGTAATTATTTCTCTGAATTTCAAGGATTTGTATAACAACTTTTCCATAATTATCTTTATTTATAGTCTAGATCGTAGACGAGTCATTTTTTCCTCGATATGCAAATATCTCGACACAATATTTGGTTACTTTCATTGCGATAATGGGCAATTTCCGCAACATATGGTATTATCAAATAGGATAAAGATATTATTTAGTCAATGATAATTAATAAATTTTGTGAATTACCTAAAAGTTTATTATAGATATCATGAATTCGATATCACTTTCTCGGGGGAATTTCTATTTATATTCACATTTTCCGTCACATTATAAAATATCCACGCAATCCTCGCTAATAGGGAGAATGATAGATAATAATGAGTCTCATATGCCCTCAGTTTTAGATCTTGAATTGAGATTTGATGACAAGGAGAACAAATTTTTGGCCGAAATAAGAATGGTATGGAAATGCCAAAACAAGGACATAGACATCGTCAAAGGCGAAAACGAAAGAGTAGAATTGGGAATTTTTGGAACTCAACTCGATCCCGAGACTACTATCGGAGTTAGGGTCGTAATAGGAAAGGACAGGAATGAGCCTGGTATTTATATTCTAGCACTGAATTTATGTCTAGGAAATGGAATGGTCGCTTACTAAATAATTCCTTTTATGGTCTATACTGCTGTCTATAAGTTCCTTCAATGATAAACATTTCCCCTAGAGTACTTTCATCAAATTCGTTCTTTTTTAATTCAAGTTTGATACCAAATAAAGGCTTCCATACGACGTTCGGCACTTTTATTACTTCGCCCGATTTGCAAGAAAATTGTGACCTCTACATCCTTCATACCTTTTCTAATTCATATTATGTGGATATTCATCAACTTCACGATATTTACCAAGACGAACACATTAAAGTTTGGGGGGAAACTGATCTGGAGAATCCTGTCGGGACGCCATCTTTGAAGTGGGGTAACGTGGTTTTAGCCAGGGAACATATATTCGAAAGTAATGGCGATAATACATTTAAGTTTGATCTACCATTACATATGCGTTATCATCCAGCAGTCTCAGATGTTCAAAAAACCCATGTGACTGTCTCTGTGTCTTGGCCTATGGTAGTATGTGCATGCGATAATATAAAGGTTGAAGAGTCAGGTAAGAAATCAAATGTATTTGGGCAAAATTGCAATTCACGTCGCTGTTTACTGATATTTTAATAAATCTAATAGCACCACTCTTTGCTCCCACGCCGCTTCCACTTTCTTTACTATTTCCGTCATCCACCAAACTCAAATACATATTGCCAAAAGACAATTCACATTCAAGAAGCTTTTGGCCAAAGGACGCAGTTAGGGTACCAGTTGGGAATTTGGATCATTTAAATGTAGTTGAAGTGTGGACTATATTTATTACATTATTGGGTAATGTTTGGTTGATATGGTTGATCAAACGAAAGAGTATCATGATACAACATGGTGGAGATAACGATAAAATTGAATAAAACATTTTAAATGTGTAAAACTTAATTTATTCACTTTTTAATGCAATGAACAGCTGTAATATATCAACAATTAATTAACAATCATCATATATGCATATAAACCAAATTCTGGAAGCAGAGTTAGAGAACTCCGAATTATGATTTAAACCCTCTTTGTTTTTTTTTATTATCAATTTCGTTGAGTCAATATACATTTTCTTTCTAATAAAAGACTTTTAAAACATTTAATATGTAAAAACTTTATAATTTATTTCTTAAGATATATAATTATTTTTTTAATCCACAATCATGCCATAATGGCATGTCTTTAATGAGATAGAGATATTAAATAAACATATACAATATTATATTGACTATTTAGATGATGATTAACTCACTTATTAAATAAAGAACTATACTATTTAAAAAATATGAAAAGTTTATTAAGCTAGTTGGAATTAAACAAAATTAAGTTTCAACTAAGTACTTTAAGTTAGATTTAAGAAATAATACTTCACTCTCCTAATAGATTGATACTAGAATTTTTACTTATCAGAATTATTATCAACAATTTATTACTATAGAATATTTTAAAAAATAATAAATTGTTTAATTAATATATTAATAATAATAATAATAATAATAATATTTTTTAATCTTATACTATTAAAAAAACCTATGATATATAAAAAGAAAGAAAGTCTATATATTAGAAACCAAATCAAAAAGACTTTAAAAAATAGATATAAAAATCTTAAGATTAATTAAAAATGAATACTGATTTCAATTTTAAATTGAAAAAAACTTAAAACTTTTGACTAGATGTTAACTAAAATCAAGAAGAAATAGAATGTATAGCTATCAATTTTCAAACTATCCAAAGTATAGTTAAAAACTATTATTAATAAACTTTCAAACAAAAAAATACCAACTTCAAGAGTTTAGATTCCTCTTGAAAGAAAAAATATCAAATCAAAGAATAAATTAATTCCATATAATATTTATTATTAATAGAGAAAATCAAAGTAGAGAAGTTATAAACTACTTTACAACACCTTTCAAATAATAAAGTAGCTAGTCTTTGATATATTAACTATGAAATTCTCAAGCACTTATATATCAAAAGAAAAAAAATCATATATATTTTTTTTCAATAAGGTACTAGTAAAAAAACAGTAATATTTATTTTATTTCAAAATTCAAATCTTGAAAATGTGTATTAAGTAATACAAGACTAATAATTTTTCTAGAAATAATAAAAAAATACTTTATTAAGATCCTTGTTAATCAACTATTAGCTATTTATAAATAGTATAAAATTTTAAAAGATTCAAACCTTATTAATCTATAAGATAAAATCATAATAAAACTTATCTATTTCTTAAACAATATATATGAAAAAATTTAAAAGAAAGAAAAAAAATTATAGATTTTCTTTTAAGATATAACTAAAGTATATAATATACTATTTCTTTTTATATTTGAAAAAGTTATAAATCAGATCTGAATTCTTATAACTATTAAGAAACTTATAATAAATCTCTTAAAAAATAAAAATTATAGTATTATTTTTTTTAATGAACTTTTAAATTTAATAGTAATAGTGATAATATAGATCAAAGAAAAACAATTTTTCTATTGTTATAAAGAACCTTCTATAATTCTTTGCTATATAAAATTCAAAATAAATTAATTTTAGTTATTCTATAAAAGAGAAATAGTTATTCAATTTTTATAAATCTTAGAAAAAAGTTAAACTCTCTTTAAGACAAGTTGTAATTATCTATATATATAATATAATCTAAATTATCAAATTCAAAAAAGACTTGGAAAATATCTTAAACGAAGCAAAAAAGTTTTATATAAAAAATGACTTTCAAATTAATATAAGAAAATTAATTTTCCTTCCTATTAATCAAAATTCTCAAAATTTAGAAACTATTTAAGCTATATTATAAGGTACTATTATTTATGAAATCAATAGAAAGGATTAAACAAAATTTCTTGATATTTGATTAAAACTAAAACAGAATAATTAAAATATTATCAATCTAATAAAATTAGAAATTAGAATAGTAATCTAGACAATAAACAAGAAAAAGTTGACAGAAAAATATATTTTATATGTTATTAATAGAGTTTTAATTTCAATAATAGAATATAGAATATAATATATATACTTAAATAAAAAAATATACAATAATCTTATAGCCATGTATAAGAAAGTATTCAAAAACAAAGCCTTAATCTGTAAAACTATCCTAAACAATTGTATTTATAGCAAAGAGATATATGGTTTTAAAAGTATCTAAGAAATACAATTAAAAAGCTATATATTGGTATTATTCTATTAACCCAATAATAGATAATGTTATAATAATCTGGTTACAACAAAGTCAAATCAAATATTGGAAGCAAAAAAATATCTTATAAAATCCTATATAATTAGATAGACTAATTAAAGAAAACTTTAATAGCTACAATATTAGCTCTAATAAAAAAGTTTCAAATTATATTTCAAAGTTGAAGATAAAAAGAAAGCTTCAATTTCAAAAAAATATTTTATCTGTTAAGTCAATTTTATAAAATGAAAAAAAATATAAAAAAGTCATTTCAATATTATAGAAATATAAGATCATATTCCTAGACCAATTCATTAATATTAACATGGTGACACTCAAAAAATAAAAAGCAAATTCTCTATAATAGATACAAGGATTTAGTTCTCTTATAGTATAAAAAAGTTTATAAAAAATAATAGAAAATCAAGACCTTTTATAAAAATTATTACATATTCTTGACTAGAAAAGTTATAATATACAAATTGAGACAATCTTAACAAATTAGATAGAAGAAAAACATATTGGATAATCTATTTTGATATTTTAATTGATACATTAAAAAAACCAATATTTTTAAATAATAAAATTTATTTTACTTTTATATTAAATATTGTAAAATTTGACTAATAATTATATTCAACTTTAGCTAAATAGATTAGCTCAGCTATTGAAAATTGTTTTATCACAAGTTCACTTCTTTCTCAACTAAATAGTTATAAGAATTTAATAAAAGAAAAACAAATTATCTTACAAAAAATCCTACAGAATAGTAGACAATTATGGTTCAACAAATAGTAATTGTATTATTAATTATCAAATCTATTAAAATAGTAATTCAGATAGAAGATTGAAATATTACATTAATTAAATAAACTATCTAATTGAAAGAATATAGAGATGAATTTATAAACTTTCTAAGATACAATAAAATAAATACAACTGGCAACTATAAAAAACAGGTATAAAATATTAACTAGAAATGGATTTTGCATAAATTCTAATAGAGAATAATAAAATAGTTAAATAATTCTTAATAGAAGTATTAATATAACTATCTATGACCTGTGGATCAATAGTGCAGTAGATGTACTCCCAGGTCATCATCTGCGAGTTACTGGTTCAATCCCACTTGAGAACAGTATTCGCAATATTGATTACATTGTACAAGATACATGCTCATCACCACATGCATCTTTGTACACAAAATACAACCTATAAAATCCTATCGTCTGACCATGGTATAATAAATTAGGTCACATAGTCTTGGCCAGTTTTAGTACTAGGGAAACTTTAAAAGATCCTACTATCCGGAATATATGAAGACACCAAGACAAGCCAGGAAAGACTTTGATGAACTCAAGCCTCTAATGGAATTGTGAAAACATCTACTTCTTCTCAAAAAATACCCTCATGGAAGATCTGGGAGACTTCAGTCATCTGTACCAATCGAAAACGTACAGGCTGTAACTTCAATTAATGGGAGATCTTATCACGATCGTGAAATCAATGGCTACCAGAGAAGGCAGCTATCTACTGGGCTGGTGATTAGCATTAGTATCATGATGGGAACTGCAGGGGCAGACCAGAAATTTGGGAGAAGCAATTCAGAAAGTAACAATTAAGGAAAACCCCTGTAGGCCATATTTGAAGAGTGGTTAAGAATGAAGCAATGAAAAACCATTAGTCGATCAATGAAGACAACACTATTGAATTGCCGGGATGTTAGCACAAGACCACAGGGCCTGCACATATCAAAGTACAACCAGCCTTCTGAGGATTAAATACAGCAAGGATCTATCATGGCATATACAAACAAGAATGCGAAACAAAAACACTAAGAACTAAGGAACACACATCTCAAGCCCCTTGAAAAATATAATAATACAAGTCCCATAGTGGACATCAGACACTATGTGGCCCGGGCACAGCAAAGCAACTGACAAAATGGTGTCACACTGTGGCAAAATTAGGGTATTCATTGGGTAGGTAGTATAGAAAATAGGTTAAGATGAATCACTTATGTAATCAATACTGTACTATCATAAATACTTAATAAATTCACTCCAGTCAAGTTGGACTTTAGAAAAAAAAAAAAAAAATATGACTATCTATAATCAAAACAGAAATACTAATTATCTTTATAGTATTGTATACAGTTTCTCAAAATATGATAGTTATAATTTTTACTGATTGTAGTATTATAGTCAAAATATGAAAATTTATCTTTTATAATAGATATATAAATAAGAAGATAAATAAAAAATACAAATCAACTATTATAAAACCAAATTAAAGATCTAGTAAAAAAAAAAATATTACTTTAGAAATAATAAAGATTAAGGCTCATAAAACTAACAATTAGGTAAATTTTTTTACTAAATAGATTAAGTAAGAGAATTCAATTATCTGATATTAGTTTTCAAAATTAAAAAGAATTTTAACAACAATTGTATGAAGAGAATATATAATAAAGATCAATATTAGAAACTATATTAAAATGTTCAATAAAAAGAAAATTAAAGTATATTAAATAATATAAAAGGGGAATTAAAATTTTTTGAA